GAGCACTTGACACACAATAGCTTCCAGGTTGCCTCTGAACTTAGTGATTGCTACCTGGAGGCGTTATGCTTAAACAACGTAATGCAGTATATTAACATGAACAACAGAATTACCGCAAAATAAAACTTTTTTTCAAAAGAATGGTTAATACTACAGTACCTGTACAAACTTTGTTAGCCGTGAGTCCATCTGCATCAATATTTCTTCCCATGCTTCACACATGCACGTCAAAGACAACTTTATATACTGAAAAACAGATACAGACATTAGCGTTATTCTGTTTTCCCCCGTCCCTTCAAACCACTTGCAAGAACTGGATGTTACAATACAAAGGGAAAATATAAAATTTATTACCAAATTTCAAGTGAAAGCTCTACATTTATTTAAATCGCACTTAAGCTTCCTATTAGAAAACATTTATTTTACTTGCATTAAGAATATCAAAGCCTGTAATAACTGTGATATTAAAAGGTTGTTGTGACACAACTGTACCTGTAACAGAGTTGAAATGTGAGTAAACTTCCGGGCCATTCGAGTTACTTCAGGTAAGTAACTTGATAATAAACTAGTGTCCAGCTATACCAAATGAAAAAAGAAGCAGTTAACAGATGATGTGTCTTTTAAGAAATTTTAGATTACACAAATGAAAAGACAGATTTGGAGGACCCAGAGAAAAACTGTGATTTCTCATTTCCTTAAAGTTGATTTTAAGAGGGAAACACATTTAATTCAAAGGGGCAATAAATATTTTTAATACATGTACAAAAACTCATTATAAAGTTCCTCATTTTGGAGTTCTAACAGTAATAGTTAGTTTTAAGGATGGCTGTTCTGGAAAGACAGGATAATCAACAGCATTGCTCCTATTCCTCTGTGTCAGAATAAAGAAAATGTGAATAACTGTAACTGTAATTGAATAAATGAATGTTATATTTAAAGTAATATTTTAAAAGAATGCCACAGATCATCATCAGCAGTCTCATCAGTGAAACTGCATGTTAACGTGATAAATTCAAAAGCTAAATCGTGGTGAATTTCAGAAAGGCTGGAAATAGTAGTTTGTGCTTTTTCTGCAAATAATGGGAAAGCAATAAAGCTACATGAAATTAAATAAAAAACAGTTTTACTTTTAGAGAGCATTTTAAAATTACTTTACTTGCCTGGAAATATGTTATCTCTGCTTCACTGTCTGAAGAGTCTCGTATCTCTGTAATAACTGACAGTGATTTTAAATCACTGGACAAACATAGTCCACGACAAGAACCTGCCACCTGAAGGATTCCAGATGAAAGGTTAATGAAAGATTGCATTTCCTTTAAGATGTATTTATTGCTCTAACACATTCACATACAAAGAAGGTTGCAGTTAAGGACATGTAAAAAAAAAAAAGTGGAATTGTCAGCTACTCTTCAAGAACAAAAGCACTGTTTTCACGTGGATTAGTGTTGAATTTTGTTTCATCTGAAACAAGATGTAAAAATCACCAGAGTTAGAATATCTTTCCAACAATAACCACACAACTCAATCGAGAGAAACAGCCATTCTTTTCTTTAGACATCAACAAATCAGTTTCACTTATGTGTAAGTGTACGTATGCATTTTTTCATTCAATTCAGCTGTAGTTTGGTATAATTATGAAGAAAAAATACGGAAAAGAACTAAACATACCCCAGTTACTGTAGCAATCTTGAACATTCCATAAGCATAAATCTCAATAAATCCTGAGCTGCCACCAAGGACAAGAGCATTAAGCCTACAAAAACAAAACAAAATGTGTTGATGAGCATACTGAAACAAATAGTAATGCATACAAAAAAAACCAACCACTTAAATTCCATGCCTTTACTAAAGATCCTCTAAAGAACCACTGAACAAAAAGCAACATTGTGTTACTGTCTACAATCCAAGAAATTTAAAAATAAAAAATATATTTGCTTGGATTTCATTGATAAAACCTGCCGCTAACACAAACAGAAAGAGTATCAATTACTATATTAACTGAGGGAACAGGGAAAAAATAACACAATTTAAGCATAGAAGTCCTTCTTCACTTACTTTAGACCTTCTAGGAAAAAAGTAACAGTTTCTAGCAACAGCCCACCTACCAATACAGGCTGCAAAGCATTCCTACAAAGTTACTCCTGTATTCCTCTAAGTTTATCCTAACTACACACAGAGTACGTTTGTCACTGTCACCCAGGCACTCCTCAGCAAAACCTCAAAGCCAGAAAACATTTGAAACAGTGAAGCAGCAAAGTAGTGTCACAAGTAACAACTGCATCAGAAACAGAAACTCAGTTCAAAGAATACGGACTGGGACAGACAGGTCTGTGCTTTGCTCACTAATTAAAACCAACTTACTAGAATGACTTGGGAAAAAGCTTCTCTACAACCCCTCCTTTTTATTAGATATCTATGTATATGTCCTTTTTTAGGAGTCTATGTATAAAGCATTAAGCTTTGGACATGGAGGTCCAAACTTGCTGTCAAACACCCATACATCTTCAACTACGCATATTCACTTAAGTTACA